GAAGCTCTAATCTGTCGAGAGGGTGCCAGTATGTTGTGTATACCATGTGTTTAGATATTTGCCCAGGTTTTCGAGTCCAACTGTCAAAGAAACTAGAAGCTAAGATTTTCCGTGAATATTTTCTGCCAATATATGGCCCCGCAACATGAAATCAGCATTCGCGTACGTTTACGTCTCAGGCACGAACATATCAAATTCCATATAGAAGTTCGAGCCTTTTTCTCTTTTGAAATTGAACAGGCCAGAAAGCTAAAATTTTGTGATTCCGGCCTTCCCCACTGAAAAACGCAAAACATTGGAAAAAACGATCAGGCGGAATATTTCAAGATGAGGGCAAAGCTCAGACAATGAAGCAATGAACATTCTTTTACAGCAAGGAATGGAGAACAAAAATTTTGCGGTTACTTGATTTTCGGATCTCTTCGTTTAAATTAATTATTAGCTTAACATACTTATATGGTAATCTCGATTTCTTATTGCTGAAGAAAGAAATTCCAAGAATAATTGAACGGTCGTTGGGGGTATCCCCATATTAGTGTTGTTATTGAGTTGCTTCTACACGACGGACGTAGCGCTGCTAGTTTTTCAGTCCCCGGCCGCAAGTCTCCAAAAATATTTTTTTTTCTTTCGCTTTTTGCACATGTGGAATTTTTATTGCGTTTTTTTGAGAAAAAAATAGCTAATCCATGATCCATCTGGTCGTTTGCTTGCTTATTTTTGTGACATCTCTATGTTTGAAGGTTTTTTTGATGGATTGGGAGATTAAGGATCCAATTTTGCTGCACAAATTCTACTCTAATCTAAACAAATAAGAATTTAAAGCCATTTTACTTTATGGTACACATCTTCTTGTTTTGGAAATTGATGAGTGAGGAGTACCAAAGATCCTTCATATTTTGGAAACCGTTTGTAATTTCATTAAAAGCGTGTTTTCTTTCAGATCTCAATCTTACACTTTCTCTAGTGTCAAAAATAAGCGTAGAAAAAAAAGCCAAAATCCCCTCCCCCTCCTCATTCCTCTCTGTGAAAGACGGGAGTACTCGGATGTATTCCAAAGGTAGTAAATGCCAACAGCATCGGTACACTGGCAGGGCTGTCGATGGCTTCCATTTTCGAGAGTTGCTTACAAGCATGCTCAGAAAATGTATGTTTTTAAAATGCAAAATGTATAAATCGTATAAATTTAAAATGTGTAAATTCACCTAAGTCAGCTACAGACAAAGTTTGATGTAAAAAAATTTTTCTTGCATCTTATGCTGTCTAATACAGTAAACAGCATAAATTTCTCAAAATACTTCAATAAAAATAGCATTCATATGCTTATACGGCTAAAAAAGAAAATGAAATGATGTTTTTTTTCGCGAATTGGAGGCAAGTCGTAAAAAAAAAGCGGATGATAAATGAAAGGATGTACGGCTAACTGCTCGCATTTGCCAAAAACAGTGTATTTTACATATGTCCAGGCGTGGATTTCTGGATTTTCTCCAATCAGAGGTTTCTCGATGCCAATCTGGATATTTTTGCAGAGCGGAAGCCATCATGTCACTCCGGCTGGGCACCATTTGCAGCGTCCGGAGCGAGCAAGTACACACATTGCTTGAAAGTTTTCGCGACATTCCGGATGAGCTGGCAACAGGCTGAGGAGAGCTGCACGCAGTTTGGCAACAATGCTCACTTACTTTCCATACAGAATGCTGATCAGATTGCTTGGCTCACTGATTTGGTTTGTTTTTTTTTTTTTTTGGTTCACATTGCATGGCAGGGCTTCTGGACAACTACAGGGTGTGCGCGAAATGCTCAGCTAGCGAATCTCGTGAAGAAAGCCGTCTTGAGCCTAGCGAATCTCAGCCAAAACTTCCGAACTGATTGATGGATTGATGGATTTTTTCTCATTCGACCATAGAGATATCCTTGCGCACTACTCACGTTAGCCTTCAGGGAAGCACAGAGGTACTGCTGTATCGCTCTTTCCATCATCGCCAGCATGTTTCTTCCTCATTTTTGAGTGATCACTTCTGTGTCTGGCATCATTGCTTCCAGCATTAATGCCAAAGCCCAACAACGCAAACCCTTCAAGTTTGAGAATTCAGGGATGTTGAGGATTTAGTGAGATTAGTAACTATTCAGTAAAATCTTTTAGTGCATCTCTAGCTTCGTGACCTTGGCATACAATCTTTTTTTTTGCCCAAGCTGACATAGTGTTTAACTTCATTTAATACCAGTCCACTCGGGACAAGTTATCCACGTGCTTCTTACCTCCGTTACGCAAACAAGTGGTGTTTTCCTGTAACAGGTACCAATCGCAGTTTTTCTTAAATCAAAAACATTTTGGAGATCCCTGGCGAATTACCGTATTTTTTGAAAAATACATGGCTTCATAGTCTGTGCGTTTTCTGTGCAGCTTTCGTATAATATGTATATTTTTAAATAATCATTCAGTTAGAGTGCCGAAATAGTTTTTTTTGCAAAAATGATGTTCTCCAGCAGCGAGGTAGATTTTCGGAAAAATTTTGTTTTTTCAATTAATCCGAGTAAGTTTAGGTTTCTTCCTCAGAATCGCGGATAAGAGTGCCGCTTTCTACGTTGTGGAAGACTTCGCACTGGCTCTCGCCCGGATGGTGGGTTGGACTTGGTCAGGTGTGTCCGAATCATCAGATTGATCAAATGCCAGCTTTAAGGTAAGCAAGCGGATGAATATATTCAATAAAAGCATACAGGATATTTGCTTTCAAAAAAAAATCAGCAGCAATAACAAATTATTTGATAGTTTCAAATAGTAACAACCCTTTTGTATTCATTTTTTGCGAAAGGCAGTGGTATTCGGGACTAGTCTGTGAGGTAACAAGTGCCAACAGCAACCACTCGCTGGCAAGACTGTCAGTGGCTCCTTCTTCTGAATCTGTTTATATGCAAGTTAATTGGCGGTTTTAACTTCCTGACATATGCTGCTACTAATTTACAGTCGAAACAAATTAGCGAATCTTCTAAGATTCCCTCCAAGGACAATTTTCTGCTTCAGTGATAACTTCTTAAATTTGTTTTTCTGCAAGTTTTCCTGATATTGTCGGTTTTGCTTCCAGGACAAAAGCACCCTGTGTGCGATTTGACAGTGATGTTATTTTATAGGTGGACAGATGGAAGTTTGTTTGATAACAGA